CMWKRAWWAAMMWWAGGTAAGMAAAAACAGAAAATCCGCTTCACACCCACACTACAATTTATCTTTAATTCCTTTAGATGTTTTCCATGAAAAACCGTTTTTAAAACCACTCGAGGCAAAGTATAAAAAAACATGTAAATACATAGTTTATATAAACAACAATTGGCGAGGAATATGACATTTTGGCGTGCCTGAGACAGGTAGGAGCCGTRTTTTCTATTAATTGAAGTAACAAGCTAACAATAATAATCTCGGRGGAAATTAAGGAAGCAATTAATTGAACAACGAGGTTGATGGAGTTAACGAGAGCCGGTAAGCCATTAYATCATTGGTTTTCTTCCGATGCAGCTTCATTATTGAGGCGCCCTTTCAGCATTTTTAATATTTTCATCATCATTGACATTTGTTGTGGTGTGTGCATTGTTTTTTTTTTTTGTTTTTGTTTTTTTTCTAGCAAAGTGAATTCATAAGTAGTAATGTAGATAGATCCAAAGAGCAATCACGAACCAAGTAATTAACTGAAGTGCATTATTGTTGTCGACGCACAYTTTGCTCTTWTTTTTTCTGCTAATGGTATGATTGGCCTGGAGGTTCGAAGATTGTGTGGTCTGGGTRAATATAATTTAAGTCAGCTAATCTACATAAATTCATCAATGATTTCCTCATTGACAGGTCATATAAAGTCGAAGTGAAGGGGGTCCTTGCGCGCTTTTAGCGACAACAGCTGTTGAGAGGACCACTAGCGWGTACAGTCAAGACGCAAAGAAAAACTCCTTGTCTARCTTAACCATGAATGATACCGTACAAAGAACAAATRCAACTGACTACTTCCAGCTTCCAGTRTTTGCCGATTCAATCTTTTTAGCKGTGGAAATAGGGTTTTCTTTAATTGGTGTTTTGGGCAATTTGTTGGTYGTCATCGTGATCACTAAACGAGCTAACATGAAAACSACTATGAACCTCTACTTGCGCAATCTCGCCATTGCTGATGTGGGAGTTTTGGTTGTCATCTGGCCGTTGTTTACAATGACAGCTCGAACTAATGACTGGCCGCTGGGAGAGTTCTTCTGCTTGTATATATTGCCTGCTACGGATATCTTTTACGGTGCATCGATCTGGTCCATCACTATCATTGCCATAGAAAGATAYAGGAACATCATCAGTCGTCGATCGTTTGGTAGACGCGCAGAGTCGTCCAGGAAAATAACAHTGAAGATTCTTGTCATTTGGTTCGTGTCCTTCCTTGTTGTAGCTGTWCCAATGTACCCTATCATGTTCTACAAAGAAGACCGCCAAGGCATCRTGTGTTACCCGGACTGGCCAAAGCATCTCAGTGGATTAATGGTCAAGATATACACCTTCGTACTTGCAGCATTCTGGTACGTCACACCGTTAGCGATTATCACGGCCACATACTCCAAGATATCTAGTCAGCTCAAACAGAGCACTTTGTTTCACAAGAAAATGCATGGAGATGACCGCAACAAGAGTCAAATCATCAAAGAAGAAGAAAAACAACGACTCAAGCAAAATAAAAAAGCCAAACGCATCCTTACTCCATTAGTGATTGTATTCGCGATCACTATGCTTCCTTTTAACGTTTTTCGTTTTTTAGCTTCGTTTAATGGAGATTTCTACAAGAACAAGTATTACTATTTCTTTGGTAGTTTGTGTGTTTTGGGCGTTGTGATTAATTCAGCCGTCGATCCARTAGTCTACTAYTTRTCGAGTAAAGAGTTTCGTAAGGTACTGGAACCAATGCTAAGCTGCAGTCAGAGAGCCAGCCGYGAAGAAACCAGCAAGAGTACCAAAACAAGCCCAACTCCGCGTAAGATGACAAATACCGACACTCCATTACTACAGCACTGCACTGCGCAATCAGAAATGTGATTGGAAAAATTAGAAATACAATGATGAAATAGATAGCGTTAAGTAGGAAAAAGAGAAAACGATTTTCACTGATCACCAATGAAGAAGAAAAAGGGAATTGATTCGAAACATTAATCACAGATATCTAATGATAGCAATCGTTTCTTGGTGTGGGGGAAAYGCATTGGAACCCAATCCATACCGAAGAGGATTTATTAGAAAGWCGACCATTTGTTTATAAAGATTGATTGCTCATATTTGATATTAGCAGAACTTATGTCAAGAACTGGAAACCAATTTGAATAGAGCAATCTATCATATTATGTAAATTAAACTGGCATACCACATAGTGCCGCAGATTTCATATGTTATTACACAAATAAWGTACAACACAATGTAAATTATTAATTGACAGATCGCTGTAGAAAAAATATGATTTAGTTGCACAGGTGTCACAAAGAAACAACACAAAAAGCAAATAAAAAATGGGCATGTAGCCAAAATATCTGCCTAAACTATACACTACAATTATATTAGTTTGGCTGTTTGTCAATACACAGCCTGACAATGTTTTCAACTTAGAAGGGTTCTAAGCAGAATGCAGCTTGCTGCATAAAGGGACAGATATTATAAATATTCAGTGTGATTTCAATGTGTCTAACCGGTGCTCTATTTGACTTGTACAATAACAACACTGTCTTCAATATAAAACAATGTACACATTCAAATGTATGAATGACATAGATTTTAATGATATTTAAAAGAAAACTTGATATATCACGATAAAATAAAACCTGTGAAAACGTTTATAATGTATAGTAAACATCAGCTAGTTTTTCAATCATAACATATTTGAAAACCGGAACCAACTCCAAATATCCCTCTTTCTCCAGTTTTAACCCGAGGCTGGTTTGGAGAGTGCATTTGATTATGTTTCTYAATATTCAATATGCATACAATTTTTTCAGTTTTTGCGTCCTGATACGAGTTCATAACCATTGCCGCTCTGTGTTGCTAGTTCTTCAGTGTCATGTTTTAAAGTTTAATATGCTTTGAATTAGATGGAAACATCAAATAAGAAAGAAAGAAATGAAATGAGTTTGGGCTTTAAACCTATTTGTTTAATTTCGGTGATAAAAAGCTACCGCAAATGAAGGCCTCGCGTCAACAGCAGACGTTCCACTAAGCTAACTAAACTATACGAGACACAAATGACATAATCTGTAATTAAGGGTCGGACTATCTGATGAAACTACACAGCCGTCATTTCTCATGATATTGACCATCTAGTCGTCGATCAGCCACTTGATGTRTTACTAGAAAAAAAGGCAGATTTATTATCTTAGAGCTACTTTGCACAGCTTACTGTTTTACAGCTTTTACAACAAATAATATTTCTAATCTTGGCTATATTTGCTGATGACCGATTGTCATATTTGCACCTGTGCGTGGAGTTTCCTGRGAAACACGGGATATTAAATTAATTTGTTTCCAAAATATCAATAACAGAATTGGAATTTCTCACTTTGAGGTATAAATATTGTCACAAAAACTGTTTTTAATATAGTCCTTCTTGGTAGAAATTTGCCTCATATGTCATGGYTAAAAACAGTAAAAACTGTACAAAACGTGATTGCATTTTACTTTGCCAAGTACAAGTTCAATTAATGGTTAGATTTTAAATCAATGCTTGAATCAATCGTTCAATAATTGCAGGCAGCTGGAAACGAAATGGCGGCAAAGTTCTGCGATTTTCGCCGACCTGAACGCGCGGTGTGTTTTTTATTGCGGTAACAACATCATCCGCTTCCACTGTCTATAATTATCCAGCAATGGTAAACGCTTTCAAAAATCCGTGAAACTAGAATATACTTCTTATTAAGAAGAGTGTATTTCTTGAATTCAATCAACAGGAAACAGGCTTAATAAGGGTGCAAGAGGCCTAAATATGCTTAAGTACTCGTGGCGTATTTCACAGAGATTTCAAATTGAGATTGWTTTTGAGTAGTCTTCCTGTAAAGTGAGTTATTACTAGCTATTAGATAGCAGTGGCATAAACAGATATATGATATTATTCCAGTATACCTCAGTATACTTAGGTATAAAACACTTAGTATTTGACATCAGTTGTACGTATAGTATCTATAATYCCATCCATTGTTGTCGTCTATACTGTGACTCAAATATATCTCACTTTTTTACTGCATCGATTAATTCCACCTGTCAATGGCCTTCTCTTAATAGTTAGATTAAAACAATCATTGACCCAATACTAAATACGTCTTACAATCTTAGTCAAATGCTATTTCTTYTTATGTATGAGGCCATTAGCTAGCCCCACCACTAAATATTCAAATCTTCAATAGTTCGCGATACTGTCYCTGTAAGTTCATGATATTTCTAGCGAGAACGTTTTCGGGCTCGTTATTCAGGGTTTATAGATACCGAAATTTGAGATCACAAGGCTTGAACCAGCTTTGTTTTTAACCTGTTTAAGCCGCCACAATCGGATTCCCTTTTGCGTTTGACCACAAAATGATGAATTGTGTCATTAAAGAGCAATACTTGGGAGCGATAACATGAGATCATGAGATCGATACACTCAGAAAACTGACAGATAACCGAGCGAGTTTGTTACTCTTTCTCTCTGTTTAGATGGATTGGTCTGTTATCRCTCTAGCAATCATTAGGCGGTGGTCAGTGTAAGCCAAGCAAAAATTTAATTAAAGTAGTTTAGAAATGTCTGGAGTGATAAATTGTTGTTTTCAACCTTAGTGGGTACTAATGACAAGCTACTCGTTCATAGCATCGTCACATAACAACGAAATATTTAGATAAATTGAGTGAATAGAACTGAAATAAAACGAAAAAGAAGTATATATATCATACTTATAYCATTATTCGAGAAGAATAGAAAGTCCTCAGTCAATTTCATGCACCATTTTTTAATCATTTCCATCAGTTTATTTCAAGCTGCCRCGTACATAATCTGCGCGCGTGATAAAAACATGGTAAAATCGAAGAAGGCGGCCTTTTTAGCTTCCTGTTAGCTGCCATCTCCTCCAGTAAAATCCGCCCAGATTACAGGAACTTACGGAGATGAAATTAAGCTTCACGCACGTACCATAACGAATGCATTTAAAGAGAATCTATGATATCAATGCATACTAAATTTGGTTTGTTGGAGACGTTTCTTTGTTGTCTAATCTAACATATTGGAGTGGTTCTATATCAGATTGTTGTAAGGYTTCCTCWATGACTGATAAAAAYCGCAATCTGATTTCATATTGACATTTCGATTTTGCTCTCGTCTTTGTCTTTAATTTTTTAGTTCATTTACAACCGATTCATTTCCATTTCCTTTTTTCCRACAATCCTTCCATTTATCCATCCATTTATTTATTTATTCATTCATTTGTTTCATCTTCCAGTCCTACAGGTAGCGTCTTGCATTTGCATATGAAGACCGTATGGTAGACTGCAACATCAACGGATTGAAATCACCACACGATAACTTTACCTCTTTTCTCTTGTTTACTTATTTATTCACATCAGTAAATTCTGGTATTGTCGTACTCAAGTAGCTGTTCAATCAAGCAGACGCATTTRTTTTGATTTCAGTTGTCTTATTTAGGTAATTCGATTTAGATTAATAAGCTCTAGACTTGAACGAGAAAGGAAWTAAACTGCACATTTATGTTGATTTCTAGTATACCTTTGATACCTCCATTGTATGTGATTTTTATGAAATTCCGTTTAACACAATAATGCTGCGGTAGCACGTCATAAAATCCTAAAAGGACTAATTTACCAAAATTAACAATAATCATTGTCCTACTGCTATGTACTAAGGTTTGCCTGCTACAATACKTCACTCGTAGGACGCAGTGGCACAGTGCGGCGAAATTAGATGTAAATAATGGTCTAGGGGCMGGTTAATTTTTCCTTCATCGGCCTGCCTTGCAATGTAAATGTGACTCGTGGAATAGTGAGGCTGTTGTCGAAATTTTCASGTCCGTTTCTTAAGTCCATGCGGTACTTCAGCTCTGTAAGTATTTGGAGGTATGGTCACGGAATTTTGGTGGGTGTGTCCGAATACTGGTTTGAACTAACATATTTATATATATCTATTCTATTTGCAAATACAACATATTCTTTCGTGACTGAGTTAATTTTCAGGCCGTTTGACAGCTGCCGAGCTGACGTAATGCATCTAGGTAGAGACTGGGTTACCTGTTCTTAATCATAATAACTATCATGAGACAATTAAGTGACAGCTGTCAGTCTACAGAGCTTTTGTGGCATGTTAGGAGGACTGGATTCTAGTAATATTTCATTAGCAAGACGTGTGACGTCAACGATGTGTGACGTCAGATACTATCTGAATATCGATTAATATTCGATTAAGTCGACAAAGTTTTCCTATTACGTAAATTACTTATAAACACATATATTGAATGGTAGAAATAGAAGATGACTTAGAATTAAGATTATAACATTTTTCTTTGTATGAAATCCCTTCGTCCACGTCGTAATGGGCTTCTTTCAAAAATACGCAGTCGAGGACTGCATGTGACTCCGGCCACTTTAAGAGATTTAGTAAACTTCGTGTGCAYTTCTTCAGTATACAACGTTTTCTGAATTATCTGTACCCACTGCAGGAAACTGAAAGCATCACGTGRCGATCAACCATTACATACGTTGCCTATGAATGCAGGCGGCGATTCCCAGGGGCTAAGGAACCTATTGTAATGGTTGATCATTCCTCCCGTGGGGCCTGACGTGGGGCGCCCTAGCTGTTTTCCTACCTACAGTAAACATATCCATCTAAAAGATTAAATCGGAAAAGGGATTTTTATCCAYGACATGGAGCTTAAATTCAGCTGTAATCAAAGACATTTTTTTGTTGACTCTCGAACGTTTTCTTCGACAAAATGTTTTTATTATCAAAACTGTATTTTTACATCCATGTTTTAAAATTACTATCATTCGCCTGATTATAGTTTTACAATAAAACCGAAAGCTTGCTAAGTTTTCCTTGATTTCTTTATCAATTTTATACGGATTATCATTCATCATCTTCAATTGTTATCATTAACTATATTTATAATCAATAATGCGCAAACTTTTATATCATCAAGAACGAAAATGTGCATTGAACATTCTCAGAGGCTTTAATTGTGTTACGTTGAATTCCAGAAAATATCTACCTGGTTTGTAAACCACTTACGTTAAGAATTTGAAGAGATTTGAGTGCCGTGGTATCAGAATACTAATAATGTCTGTTCTGATATAAGAACTGTATACCTTATTTTCTTGTGATGATTTGGAAAACAATAGCGACAATTGAACAGCTCGGTGAAAGCCGTCACAGTACATCGAGTACATCGGTATTCGGCCGCAAACCAGCACTCAGCACCCATCCCACCCCTGTCAAATAATAAATCTACTGAAGAATGATTATGCAAAGACTGTATCGTTTGCTAATTCCAGTGCTGAGCTCTGATTGGCTCGCTGCTCCCTAAGGATTTTGGTGACGTCATATATTAGCATAGAACTTCACCGAATAGACTACCCCAATTAGATATTAGATATCTAYAAGTGTCTTCATAGTACGATGGTCTAAGAGGGTAGCTAAAGGTATGCTCTAGTGGGCGGCTACCCCCTCACTCCCTGGCCTTTTGGTTAAGACTAAGTTTTATGTTCACTTCGGGATAGCGTGGAAGGGCCGAAATCTCTAACCGTAACGTAAGCCGATTCGCCGCCTCAGCTTCATAGAATGTCTCGGGGGAATCGTCCCAACTTTTTAGTTTTTTATATTCATTATTTCTTATCTGTTCAGGGGGGGTACATCTTCTCCYGGAGTGAAAATTCTGAGTTCGAGTCCTGCTTCTGGAATTTCTCTTTTTTCGCTTGTTTATTGTTTCTTTTTCGTTTGCTTCTTGTTTTCTTTTCTTCTTCTTTTTCTTTTCTTCTTTTCTTTGCTGTGTTACTTCGTTTGTTTTTTTTTTCTAGAGATTTTCTCTTTTCAACTTAAAAATATCAACAACTCGCAAGAAACGCCTGCTACAAGGGGATGGTTACGGTTCGGTCACTCAACACCATGACATAGTGACGAAAGGCCTTATGGTACAACGGCGGTGGAGAGAATGGTTTAGTGAAAATTTCCATTCTTTTCAATAATTGAATGAAGTATCTTTCTACATCCATTTCGAATAATGGTGGTCACCGTTTTGAGMTAATGATGTTACCGCAATTGTTCTTGTCACTATGGATTTTGATAAACTTKCACGATAAAAATAAGACAAGAAACCACAAAACGCTTAATTGGACGATTCTTTACTTGTTAAATTTCGAGAAAATACTTAGTACTCCCTTGAAGTCCACAAAGCAGGTGATGAATTATAGGTAGTTTGGCCTGAAAAGCAAAAATAAAATAACATAAAATGTATAATCTGCCAACTCTCCAGCGTCAACATCCTCAGCTCAGACAGCTCAACAACTGGACAGGACAACATGGTGGATTGTTTGATGGTTTAGAGCAAAGAGAATCCAACTCTACGTCCAATTCATATACTGAAGTAACAGCCGTAGACCTGGGTGATGGCCGACCGGGTCATTTGCAAGGAAGAGCTTTGCCTCCTCTCGTTGAAACAGACTTTGTCAAGAACATTTCTAAGGAAAACATCTCTGATGYCAACAGTACATTAACGCCAGTCTTTGCCAAAGTGTCACCGTTGTCTGCTTTGCCTCCTCTTAAAATTGCAGGTGTAAGTATGTGTTATACGCTTCGAGAACGGCAAATGATTTCCCATCCTATTTCTAGTGCTGTTCCTATAGACACTAAACACATTTTCACTGTGTCACTATATTGTATTTTTTTAACCGTTCTTTTTTGTCAAAGTTTTTGAAACACACAACTCAGAGACAATTTTTACCCTAACGTAACGATCTCTGTCTCAGCAGAAAAGARAGGATGCACATGATGTCATCGACCAGGCAACAAAACACATCCAAGACTATAARGAYGATGTTCGTCGCATCGACGAATGTCTTCAAATCGCAAAACAACAACAATCAGACTCYCTCCTTGAAAAGATGAAAGAACGACAGATCCTTAAACAAGCAGAGATCGAGGAAAAGAAACAACGAGATGCGTTGCATACAAAAATAATGAGATTTGAAGCGAAGGAAAAGAAGAAKAAGAACGCGAAGAACGAAAATGACAAAAATGAAATCGTGAAAGGTCGAAAGAAAGCAAGAAATGACGTAGAATATGACGATGTTTATGATATAAAGCATGATGTCGCCAATAACGTCAAATATAACGTAGATGAGAAACTAAAACGCAGCACCGACRAAGCAGAATACGACAAAGTTTATGATATGAAGCATGACGTCATTCATGACGTCAAAAATGATGTCATAAATAAGGAGGCCAGAGATGACATCAATGGGGCCGAATATGACGACGTTTATGATATAACACGTGGCGTTGTTAATGAAGTGAAAAAAGATGTCATAAATAAGGGGGCAAGAGATGACATCAAGGGAGCAGAATATGACAAAGTTTATAAAATAAAAAATGACACAATCAATGTCGTCAAATTTGACGTAAATAAGAATGCAAAAGATGACATCATTGAGACAGAGCATGACAAAGTCCGAAAGATAAAACATGACTTAACTAATACAGTCAAACATGAAATAAATGATGAGGCAAGATATGATACAAACCAGGAAGAGACCGCTGGAAATCAATATGACAGTAACGTAAGTACCACCGTTTGTATTAATGCCGATCCTGAAATAATGGCAAACACAAAAAGACTTCTCTATTTACATTTCAGACCGCAAGTACTACATGTCTTTACAACAAAAAGGAAGAACCAGCCCAGATATTCAGTAATACACACTTTACTGACGTTAATCATGCATTGGGACAAAGACAAGACAGCATCCAATGGATCAAAGTCGAGGGGAAAAGAAAGAAATCTTTAAAAAAGCTCATCAAGTTTGCTGTGGTCTTCCTGGTGATCGTTTTGTTTGGAATTCTGCTCATTGCCATCAAAAAATCTAGACCAATCACAGGTAAACTTGCATAAAACACCCTGTCCCGCGCTCCCCGCCCCCTACCCCCCATGGCCAGGTAATGACTTCAATCTGAAACTGTCAAAGGATTCGACTGCGATATCAAAGCCGAAACTGAAAGAATTCTGATCGCAGCCATAATTTGCATATGTTTTGTGGTGCATTAGTTATGGATCAGTAGAGTGAATGTGATAATATTTTATATTTCATAGATGAAGTGGCTCGTAACGAGTCCATTGGTGGAACGGGATCGGTTGGGTCACAGCACGGTAACAACACTGAAGAACAAGATGAAGCAGTGAAAGTTGCATCACCATCATTACCTTGGAGTAGTGTTGCCAGCATGGATGAAACCGAAGCTTTACCGACAACGATCCATTATAGCACTGCCACGCTGGAGAGTACTGATTGGTCAGCGGCAGACGAAACAACCGCTTTATCGTCTCGCACAATCACTACGTCATTCCCAATCGTCACATCAACACAAATATATTCCTTTGGCGTAACGCAACAGTCAATGTCACGCACTCCGTCGCCACAGAAAATCCCTATTTCTGCGTCGGTAAAACGTTCAATGTCACATACTCCCTTGGTACAATCACTATCGCCCTCTGTAAAATCAATGATGTCACACAGTCCATTGATGCAACCACTGCCTATAGAGTCATCCATGTCACACACTCCCTTGGTACAATCATCATCTTCCTCTGTAAAATCAATGATGTCACACAGTCCATTGATGCAACCATTGTCTAAAGAGTCACCCATGTCACACACTATCTCGATAAAACCAGTGCCTTCCTCCGTAACACAACATGCAATGATGTCACGCTATCCCTCGATACTAGAAAGTAAAACATTACCAAGTATCTCAATTCACGAAGCCTCTTCCTCGACTAAGCCAATCTCCACAGCAGTAGTTTACACTACAAGACCATCCCCTGGTGAATCCCTCGCGACGCCAAGGAGTGTGACAAGTATTAGTCAGACGTCACTGTCACTATCTTCAACTTCTTCCTGGACATATGAAGTCGATGAGACTGTCACAGACGCTGAATACGTCTGCTCGGTGACTTCCACAACCACCGATGTTGACGCCTTATGGAGAAAAATCAAAAAATTGAGTAATAAAATCCACAGAATGCTTCTCCATCGTTATTATTATTACCACTTAATAAGGGCGGGCTATTACCGACGCCGCGGGAAAAAGCTGCTGGACAAAGTGTGCGACTTAATACAACATCCTGGAAATGGTGGTATGGTACTGATTGACCTTCAAACAATGGCTCAACGGTTAATGGATTTACTGGAAATAACGTATAGTTGTGTCTAAAAACATCAACATCGTGATTCTAACGCTTAACATCATGCGTTGTTGCGCGCATTTTTGAATTTACAATCACGAAGAAGTCCAAGTTTAATTTATTGGTCAACAGATTACATATATTCATTTTGCATGAAAAATAGCATTATATATATTATGTATAATCAAACATCATGTGCCTCTATAGGTATAAAGTAAAACATCAGTCCTCACCCTGGTTTTGCRCCTTTTCAAGGCAATATTAGRAACAGTGTAAAAACGCCACGATAACACAACAGTATTGCTGAGAACAGTTGTAAATAGACTTCAAACTTATCATCAAAAATTAACTTCCATACCTAGATAACGACAAACAKACTAATATACAAGAGCTGATAATAAAAGCTCACAGACAGACAGACAGACAACAAGACAGATACTCAGACAGAATTATCATTCTGATAATCAAGTCAGTCATTAATTGAAAGTTATCTTTAACTTAATCAATACACCTATGTCATGTAAAATGTACAAAAAAAACTTCCTTAAGATATCATTAAAAACTTTGGCATGAACAATGATAATTTGATTTACAAAAACAAAATGGCTTTCACACCAACTGTTTTCTTCTATATTGATGATTTCAAGGGCCGCGTTGTTTCCCCACTCCTTTCAYAGGTTCAAACTAACGGCAATGTTGGTGAAATATCT